ATTCATCCATTTGTTTGAACAAGACACCCCTGAATATGAATGTTGATACTTTTTAATGTTAAACATCTTGTCATGCCGTCAATACGTGAGTCGTTCGCGGCTCGTTGGAGCAGTTCTCCTTGACTTTAGCGAAAACACCTAGGTCAATACTGAACAAATTGTTAATGTTTTTGGTAACTTTCGGTGCATGACAGCAGCTATTGTTTCGTATATAAAGAATTAGGCCATATTTCGACCCGCACCTCTTTAAAGTCCATTGACAATAGTGAATACATTTTACTCGCAGCGAAAAGCACCAATTGTGTGGTATTGACAACGTGATTACCAATTTTCAATGTTTTCTCTGTTGGTTTCAGTCACTATATATTTATTTAGACAAACACCAAGATTTCAAAGGCTCGGAAACACATTTTTTTATTCGGTTGCTATTGTTTTAATGTAGGATCAATAACAAACATCGTTATTTAACCAATTATTTTTCCTCATTTGCTTTGACATTACTCCCATGACACTTCTGTGTGCTTAAGTGGTTTGCCTGTACATGTTAATAGCAGTCCAGTTGTTTCTATTTATGAATTGAAGTTCGTATGAGGCCGCTTGGGACCCTTGTGAAGCGGCCTCACCGCAGCAGCTCCTGGTGCCTACAAGCGACCTCTGCCACCTCCTGCGCCATCCGACCTCTCGGCCGGCCCTCTCCTCTGTCTGCTCTCTCCTGCCGGCAGTCGCCCTCCTCCCCCTCCTCCTCGCCGTCGGCGCCGACGCGCAGCAGCCGCTTAGACAGCTCGTCCAGCTGCGCGCACAGCGTCAGCACCAGCTTCACGAACGTGGCGGAGAAGGCGGCCATGTTGAAGCCCCAGAAAGCGCACGCCGCGTTCACCAAGATGACGACGATCACGTTGGAAGCACCTGCGGAGCGAATGTGGGTCAGTGGTGGTCGTAAGATTGTTAGTTTCACATACGGTTGTTGTATAGTGGTTTTGAATCACCGGTACCAAGCCATAGACACTAGGGAATCCATGAATATTTTAGCCCCCTAAACGACCTAATGTTTTCTTTTATCTTCTGGCAAAATTGATATATATATATATATATATATATATATATATATATATATATATACATATATATATATATATATATATATATATAATGTGTGTGTGTTCGAATTATGTGATAATTTAAAGAATAAAAGTGTGCATTATAATATCTACAGTACATATATAATGTTCAGTAACAAAAATGTTTATTATTTAACACAAATCTACGATGACCCCTCCCCCCAAATATACGGCTGGATCTGCCTCTGGCTGTGAACGTTATAATGAAAAAGCAAAACCAGTCAATATGGCCGTATATTTGCATGAGTCCATTTACAGCACTTATTTCTACCTCAATGGTTTAAACATTTCAGTGTGACGATTCGTCACATGACGAATTGTGCATTTCAACATAGCCATTTACATTACTACTGAACATATTCATACATTGATGCATGATTAAAGACTATTAACGTGATTCAGTGAATGAATTTCCTCTCATTGACTCTAGTAATGTTATTAATAGCTATAAAAAGTGGGAATGTGAAAACGTAAGGGGACAGTATATCTAGAAAAGTATTTTCTTCCATGAGGGAAAGCGACATTCCTCAGGAGGTATAGAGTTGTAAAGAGAGATAAGAGAAATAGCATTAATGCAAAGATGATTTGAAAGATAAAAGGATCTTCAATGACTTCTTCAAGGAAACAGCATGTCATGGTTTACAGAGATACCTTAAAGAGTTGGGAACGAAAGGTAGTAGAAATACGATAGTAATCTTTACAATTGCGAAAGTGATCATAAGTACGTACTGCCGAGGAAAAAGAGAAAGAGAGGAGATGCAGAATTTGTGACGCCATTTACTTGTTGAACCACGAAGAGCTATTAGCCAAAAGTGAAAGTCCCTTTCATCCATGTCGCGAGAAAATATTGTGCACCAAGCGCAGGGGCCATTTCAATGTTAAGATTTAAGGATTTTTTTCGAGTAAATTCAAAAATTGAAAATAATTCGAATGTGTTCCACTGCGTTATGCATGATACGAAATGATATCACGCATTATTCTAACCCCCCTGCTTCAAGAGCACCGCGTAAAGTGCCGAGCTCAACAATATGAGGAAGTCAGATGTGGATCGCCCAAGTACACGGTATATGGCCGGCAACCACATTAAAGAGTTTAGTTCAGACCCTTGAAGCCTTGCAAGTTAGACACCTCTGACCTGGAAGAAAATAGTTGCAATGTTCCAAATTTCAAACGTTTTAATAAAAATTTAGATCAGTAGAGTAAATGTATTTGCTTTTCGCAAATAAAAAAATAATGAATTGAGACTGATGTAATTCTTTCCCAATATGACATAAGAGAAAGTTGAAATAGTTTATTTCCAGTACACAGCGAATAAAGTTATGTAACTAATGCGTGCCTTTGGGAAGATAATTAACAATACCGACTGAATTACCTGAGGAAACATCAACAGGGTGCCAGAAACGAACAGGGGGCTTCATCATGACCAGTGAAAGAATGGTAGGTACAGCCACGTTCATCATTGTTCCAACCACGTACCTGCAGAGACAAACGAATTTTGAAATATTTTTCCTCATACAAGGTGATTCAGTCCTCGTTATGTTGTCCTCGCAAATAAACCGAGAGATTATCCCAAACGTAATGAACAGACTGGACATGCTAAAATTGGATACTATTTGTCGTCTAGTTTTGTAGATAATTAACATTAAACGTTGGACTATGCGCTTATGCTCGTATGACACGGGCTTCAGCAAGTGAGCAATCAGCTTCACCTCGCGTTAGTGCAAGCCACTTTTGTGAAAAACTCAATTGCTCGTACTATCAGAGAATACCCGGAAACGAACACAAGGCAAATAGCGCGCGAGCTTAAGTTATCACAGTCCCTCGTATGGTGAACAATTCGTGCGGAGAGATTACAACTTTTCCATTTCCAGCAAGTGCAGCATTGGCGTAGTAGACACTTATGCTTTCAATTTTCTAGGCATTTCCTGAGAAGCGTGATTTACAACAACTGGGACAATTAATTATACAGAGTGCATTGGAGGGCCGAGGAAAATCCGCAGGTTGCACGAAGTGTAGCTCATCAAGAGCGATGTTCTGTAAATGTGTCGGTAGGCATTTTGGATGAATTTATCCTCTGTCCAATTTCTTATATGATCTTTTAAGAGGCGTTCAGTATCGAATTTTATAGCTCAGGTACTCCAAACGCTTTTGGAGCTGAGGGTTATTGAAAGACAGCTTTTATAACACTGCAACCAAAGATCGCCACGACCTTCTTCGGCGCATTGAAAGTCTGGTGGCAGAAATAAAGATATAATTCGGAAAAGTTCTGCGCGTCATAAAGACCTTGCTTCGCAGATGCTTATCTTGCGTTCACGCAAAAGGAGTTCATTTTGAACACTGGCAGAGACCCTGTTACAAGAAGTAAAAAAGGGAAATTTTGGTTGTATTGCAAATGAGATAAACTTACTTTAATAACACTTAAAAATAGTTTTTCTCTGCCCTTTCATATTCGTTAAATAAGCAGGAAATAATAGCAACAGGGAACAATTTTTCACGTAATATTTGGGCTATAGTTTTTGCCAAAAACGAACAATGACAACTATTTTTTTCTAAATTTAGAGTTGGCACTTTTTTCTTTTTCACTCGTGAATAACTTAATGTACTCTCTCACCTGGTTCTGTAAGAGAAACGAGGACTGAATCACCCTCTACTCCACAATTCTCAGGCCCAGATTAAGCACGGAGTGAACAGAGCGGCTGCTATGAAGACCAGAATAAATTCGAAAACTGGAGCTTGATATTCACATGTTATAAGCAGTTTTAAGTGAAGATGTATCAGACATATTTTTCTAGTAGTAAATACAATAGGTGCCATTATCTCAAATGATATAAAAAATAAATCAATGATTCGAACAACCCATAAAAAACTGTCGTTTTATGAGTCATGTGTGATGCAAATAAGCAAAACTGCATAGCAAGAGCTACTGTAACTGAATTAATGACACTAATGTTTGCCATCATGCAAACATTTTTAAAACATTAAGGCTTTCTCTACCATTGAAATATAATTAATTTTGTACTCGGTCTACTCTATGAAATGGATAAATTCTAATCTCTTTTCTGAAAAAACTTAATTAGTAATTGATATTATTCAGAAAGATGAAGTCTGTAATACATAAGTTGCAAAATTATGTATCAATATTATGTATTAAAAAAAGAAATTATTTCGTTGCTTTAATACAAGTATGACAATATTTTAAAAAGCAAAATGTGCATGAAGATATAAATGTAAATAAATCACATGGAATATTCTATACTATAGATAAGTGCATATCTTACTTCTCTTATAAATGACAAAAAGGGCTTTGCTACCAGAAATGGGTCAAAATTGGTGTAACAGTTACATCTAATTTCTTTGTTTGTAATTAATGCTACCGTCACAGTTATAGCTCTCAATAAATATTATGTAGTTTAGATCATAATTCTTGTGTTTGCTGTGCTACATAAAAAGAAAATTAGAGATACTAGAGTAATTGTTTTCAATGTATTACCTTTTACTACTGAATCCAAACATGAACAATGACGTCCTTCATACATTTTTCTCGAAAAGTTCAAGTTGAATAAAAATTTTCCTAGCAAACATTGTTTGGCAACACACTCTGAGTGGAAAATCAAATGTAGTTTTTTCCTTCCCTATGCAAAAATCAGAATTTAGTAATGGAGTGAGCATACACTGTATTACCCCGCACGTGAAGACAGTTCCGGATCCCCCGCAGGGGTTTATCCAGCCCTGACAATACTCGTGGTCTATTATGGCAGAGTTACTTTGAAAATCTTCATAGATATTCAACCAAGGCTTGTTTCAATAACCCGGGAAATAAGAGACAATTTTAATACACTGTTTCCCGAAATATGGTAAAAAAGGTATTCTACAAACGACGAACTAAAGTCTAAAATAAATGAGCGCGATAACAAGTAGCGCAAAAAATTGTGAGATCAGAAAAAAATAAATTTTGTCTTAAGACGTACCAGCTTATAATGCAATCTGTCTTCACCATATCAGCAAACACTGGCGACAGCGGTTCAAAAGAATCATTTACAACATTTTCTACTGCCATTATGTAACAGTCAAGATCTTCTATGATATTTCTCAGTTGATTGGAGTTGAAGACGGCATGAAAATTGTTGAACGCAGCGCATGTAGACGTGAGGCATATACCAGCCTTAGAGATGAAATCATTGATCCCATTGCTGTTCAGAAAGAACTCCAACCATTCGCCCAGCAAAAAATAGATAGTTAACGCGTGAAGAAAGCCTATGAGAGCTCGCATCGCCCACTGCATAGGGGAGAGACGGCTCGGCATGGGCCCCGAGTGTGCGCCCATGAAGGCCATCCAGCGCAGATACAGCGCGAACAGATGCCCTCTTCGCCACGAAGGCTCGGGCTGCAGCAGCTCCAGGAGGCGATCTCTCTTAGCTGCCATCTCTCGCTGCTTCCTGGGGGAAGAGAAAACAGGTTGTGTTGGGACCTTAAAGGCCATCCAGCGCAGATACAGCACGAACAGATGCCATCTTCGCCACGAGGGCTCGGGCTGCAGCAGCTCCAGGAGGCGGTCTCTCTTCTCTGCCATCTCGCACTGCTTCCTAAGTAAACGAAGAGAAGGAAGAGCTTGATTAATCAATTAATTAATTAAAATATGTAATTAATAATATATAGTGTTGGCGAGGTTCTGTTGATTTCAATTTCAGCTAGGCGCGAATGTATTAAGTGTACAATAGAGATGAAATTGTTCAAAAAAAGTTGTTTTGATGATAGATAAGATGGGTTTGGTTGAAAATTACACAAATGTCACGTATATTCTATATGAAAATTAAGCATGATTATAATGGATTTACCGAATTCACGAAAGCAAGTGAAATGTCTTATTAATGCTATACGGATTGATATTAAAACAGTCATAGAGTGGGTTAATTTTGGAGGGAAGTACTTAGTGAAACTGAAGATTAAAATTGTACATTTGGGTGTTGAAGGAATGATTATTTATATTGATGAGAGAAGGTTTGGCCAGATATAGATCAACTGAGATAAAAGAGAAATGGGAAATGTGTATTCGGAGAATTTGAATGCGCGCCAACGCTGTTTTCCCAGGTTACTGAAGAACAAAAATGTTAATTTAAATAATAGTAAACATTGTCAAGCCGGGATACACTACGATTTCAAATTGTCGAAAAGGTTATTGGTACCTTTCTGCCAAACACTATTTTTCATGGACCGTGAAGCACGTACTTGAATAGAATAAAAAATACTAAGCGAAATTAAGCTTCAATTGAATTGGTTAAAGATAAATTTCATTGCTTTCTCTTTTAATAGTAAATATAAAATAAATATGAAAAATATTCACTTTTACAATGCAGCGATGTATTGTATTGTGTATTGTAGAAAGTATTGGTAATAAGGATAAAATATAAACATTTTTGTTTCCCTTTTAGAGAAAAACAAATGTTTAAAAAATTAAAATTGTTAAAATATTTCGCTGAAAATTTCCCGAAAATTACTACATTTTAATTCTAGATAGACACCCCCAAAAACAGCACTTTCACAAAAATCGGAAGTTTTTATGAACATGAGGCCTGCATTATTCTCTTAAGCGGTATTTACGCTACCCCAGAACAAACTTAATTAAGAAATTTTAGTTTTTTAATAACATTTTGGAATATGTTTTCGAGGCTCAAATATCAAAATATCACTTTGAAACTCACAAAGCTTTGAATTTGTTCAGATCGATCGGGGAATATGACGTTTGGTGAAAATAGCTGGACGGTTTAGGCGCTTGCGTTGACCATAGACGAACGTTTTTCCGTCAATCGATTTTTCAGTATCAAAGACTCACAAAACATGGTTTCTAGCTATACCAGATGTTAGAGGAAGAAATTTACTACAAATATCAATAGAATGTATCCACGTTTTTGTTACAAGGGCCCGCCAATAAGGGTTTTTGCCGAGAATTCGCCGTTTTTCAGCGCACAATTTCATAATATTGTCTTCTTACAAACTATGAAGAGAAACTAAAAAGATTGAAAGTAATGGGTATGATAATTTTAATTTAGGAAATATTTACAACTTAATTCAGAAAGATATCCCAAAATTTGAAAACTTGATCTAACGTGCCTCAGCTGTACGCCAACGATATAAACTGTATTTACCTCTGGGACTACAAGCAAGTCACTACAAGACTACATACTGGCACTCGCCGCGCCGTAATTGATTAAGTCCAGGTAAATCTCAAACGGGATAGCGGCTTTAGGCCGATATTAAATACTCTGTCAAAAACGAAGGAGAACTAAGTCAGTACACTGTGCACACAAGATGCAAAAGATGGACAAATTTAGAATTAAATTTTCTGTCTTTTCATATATAGAAGGTTGTAAGAATGACGAACTAAAATAGAGAGGTTGCAAATATGTAAAACTCATGGGTATAAAATTAGAAAACTTTGATGCTTTAGTAAACATGCATAGACACAAAATTAGATTGCTGAATCAGGGAGGTTTTAATTTGTTGAGAAGTTTTCAAGAAGTCTGCATTATAAATACACAGAACGAACGAATATCGTGTGTGAATATATATATATATATATATATATATATATATATATATATAAGTAATTTGATGATGATATATAATATATGATAAAAGTAATTTATAATGTTGAAGATTGGTTCTACATTGATCATCTATTTCCTGGCATAGAGTAAATAAGCGGTAAAACATGTCAAAAATGCGATCATGTACATTTGAAAGTATTGAAAAAAGGACAGTTAAAACCAAGGTTCATTCATTCAACTTCTGTTTCTTTTCAGTACTTCAATCAAGAAGTACTTTTAATTGAGAGTGATTTACAGGAAACATAATTCTCCGATGTTGACTATCTGTGACTTGTTTCATCTCAAATTGTGGGATACAATTACTGTTAGTTTTCGTAACTTGCAATTCAAGCAAGATAATGGCAAAAATCATTAGAATATAAGTTTTATAAAATAAAGGCACTACAAATAAATATCTTGCAAAACTAAAAACTAAAAATTATTTAACATGTCTGACATTCACAAGTTTTTCTTTAATTTATTCTCACATGCTAATATTCAGAAAACAATTCCAATTAATAACCATTTAATTAAGATTACACTACGAAATAATGTCATAATCAAGGGACATCAACGATACACCTCTAACTTACATATCTTTAATCTAAACTACACACTCTAAGCAATCTGACTTATATTTTACATTTGAGAATAATAAGGTGGTGTAATGAATTATGTGATTTATCCTGTATGCTTGACAGACCACGCGCTCTAATGTGCTTGCGAATGTGCCAGTTACCAAGAGTCAACTTCTCCTTCAGAGCGCAGCAGCGAATCAACCGGCGGTATCCAAAGCTGGCCTTCAAAGCAGCCGAAGCCGCCCCATCGGAGCTTCGAACCTGCGGTGGTTCCCGAGCTTTCTTAATTGAGGGGTGCGACCAGGCTTTTGCCCCGCCCCTTGATAACGGGCACCCCTTCAAAGACCCGTTGACCCTCCCCCGCACACCCAGCGACAAAGGCACCCCGTAATTCTCCCGTGTACGCGATCGATTCGCGGGGCACCATCATTATGGCACTCGGTCTCTCGACCGAGACGGAAACATGAAGAAAGAGCATAGTACATTACTCACAGAAAGAGTACACTTTCATCGAGAAATCATAACCATCGTACATTACTTACAGAAACGTGCTACAACTCCGGTTCATCAAGCTGACGTAGCCACTAAGGCACAATAAAATGAAGCAATTGGAATATTTAGTAATCATTTATTACTCACTTGCGGTACCTGGAGCACGTTGTTCTGGCCTACATCTCCTTCCCTCCCCCCTCTCTCTCTCTCTCTCTCTCTCTCTCTCTCACACACACACTCACTCTCTCGCTCTCGCCCCGTCTCACGACAGAGAGATCTCGCAGTCGCCTACAGAGGGCAAGAGCTCTGCGTGCTCTGCTGCGACAGGGAGTTAGAAGAGTAGGTCGGTAGAGGAAGGTTATGTAGATGACCCTATGTTGAACAAAATGTCTACCGAAAACATATTACTGCAATCGGTAGAACACAATATAGCTATCATTCAAAATACTCGTATTCAATAAACATCTTTTTCCAGAAGTAATTCTATTGTAATGATATCGGCTCTAATCAAAAATCTCTCCCTCGATAATAACTGTTACAAAAAACGCTCATTGTAATATAGAAAGTCTAACGCTCATGCACACAAGCTGAGCGGCGTTGCCAAAGTTCCCGCGCTCCCGGACAAAAGCAAAACAGAAAGTCAGTCTACCGCTGGATTTCAAACGAAGCAGAGCCCGTGTGCTCTCGCAATTCTTTGTAAACATAACTCCAGAGTAAAGTTGTGTTAATCAGCGATACTGTCAAACAAGTCAAAATCAACAATCTGGCATACTTTAAGGGCGTTATTTTGTGGTGAAAGTGATGACCAAAATCAAGCCAACGGGGAATTTCGTCAACGGTTGTGCCTCCAAAGGAACGAACAAGGGATTCTACCTGGAAGTCGGCACATTGGTTCTGTATCTTTATTTAAGCTTAAACTATTGGTACCAAAATTTAAGCAAGGCTAGCATTTGTACTCAATGTTATTCATGTACAAATTAGTTTTATTGATTACGTAATAAAAATTTGTTCACAACCCTATACAACACATGTTCATACATTAATTGTAATCATTCATTTCACTCTTGTTTATTACCTTCCATACAAATTAGATAGTTCTGAAGTGCAAAGGGAGCTACCCGAAAATCAAAATTACCATCGCACTTCAGAATATATCAATAAATGATACCAATTATTGTAATTTCACAATTAATTTTTCCAAAAAGTAAATAGAGAATATTTATGTCTGTTTCCTTTGCTTTGTTTGAACTTAATGTTATAAAATATTTTATTAATGAAGTAAAAAGTACAATGAAAGTACCATTACTTCAAAAAATAAAGATGTTTTAAATGTTTGCATATAGTATTTTTAAAACAGAAATTTCAAAATCGTAGAGAAATTATAGTATTCTACTCGCGTAGAATGACTATTATTTACTCGTAGAAATTCCGAAACTCGCTCCTACATCGCACGTGTCGTTAACATCAACCTGTGAATAATAGGTAGAATTCTATGCTGGTTGAATACTATACTATTCTTTATTGTTAAGACTATACTATTTTTTATAATATTAAATAATAATGTTTACATTTTATCAGGTTTTCTCAATTTCTTACTCAAAATTTGACTGTCTATAAATACATAGAGGACCATATATTGTAATGCAACCTCACACGTTGGACGCCAATTTGTGTAACGCACCGGCGCAAGCGGGCACCAATTCATGTAATGCTCCACTGCGAGTCACACTATCATAAGGGGGAGGGAATTGCCATCACACTTAAGGTGCGACGGTCGCTTCCAGGAACCAGGATGCACGCGCTGAATTTGTTTGGGGGGCGTATGCCTTACTTGTTGTCTAGGCACCCGCGTTGAAACAGCTCAGGGGTGAGCGCTCTGGGTCGAAGGATTGCATTTGCTTACTGGCTACAAATAA